GAATCAGAGTGGAAAGGATCAGGGCAAAGAGCTACACACAGATTATCATACATCCTGCACACTGCAGGGCACAGCTCCCTAGCAATCTCTTCAAGACATCTACCAGGTGGGTTTGGGGAGACAGGCCAAAATTTCAAATTTAACTTTAAAAAAACAAAAACAAAACCCCAATATATTCATCATCATCGTGTACCAGTAACCTTCGCAATGTCAGCACAACTCTGGAAACAGTGTTTGTTAAAAAAATAGCCAGGAGAACATAAAACACCATTTTATATGTAATATCCTGTCAATGTTTTTCTAATTTCATGCTAGCTTGGCAATGTATCTGGGATCAAACAATAGTTTTAAAGAGGTCACGCTTGGGACCTGAACTTCTTCCCAGTGTTCTTTAAAATAATTTTTTTTAAAAATAGGTGAGGACCTGAAAAACCAAGTAGTACACCAGGTGTCTGGGTTGTGCACAATATAGAATAACCCAGAAGTCACTGTCACAGTTACCCGGCTAACCATACCTTTGACCCCTCCTAGTCACTTCGAGTGCATCCCCTTCTCTCAGGTCTTAAGCCATCATCTGTCTCTTTGGGTGGAATCACATGATTCTCTCACTCTCAGACCAGGCCTTGGGCTGTAGTTACAGGTGCTAACTGCAATTACCTCAGCAGGTGTGACAGAGGCTCAGTTCCCTGCATACCTGTTCCCTACAAGAGTAATAGCAGTGGCAACCAGTGAACCAAACAGCGTTCTTAAAGCAAAGTAGTGTTTATTTAGAACAGCGTTTCAGAGAAAAACCATCTTAAAAAACAATGAACCAGCCTATATGCACATCTGCCTTTCCCTAAGACTTACCATTTCCTGGATCTGGGGAAAGACCCAAATCTTTCAGAGTCTTCTGCAGAGCCTCTTTCTGTGTCAACCTGTCCCCCTGCAAACAGACCCCCCCCAGAAAGGGCTTTTTAACTGTTCTTTTGATCTCCGGGTTCCCACCCTGGCAAAACAAGGTTTGCATTTTGGCTGGAGACAATGTTTTCTCCCACCAGCTTGTAACTGCCCCTCAAGGTTGGTTTGGAGGTTGCTTGTCAGGAGCCTGTGTTGCTTCCTTGCTTGTTTTCCCTCACAGCCCCCTATTAAGCTAGAACAGGGTTTGGCAACCTTTCAGAAGTGGTGTACCGAGTCTTCATTTATTCACTCTAATTTAAGGTTATGCGTGCCAGTAATACATTTTAACGTTTTTAGAAGGTCCTCTTTCTATAAGTCTATAATATATAACTAAACTATTGTATGTAAAGTAAATAAGGATTTTAAAATGTTTAAGAAGCTCCATCTAAAATTAAATTAAAATGCAGAGCCCCCCAGACTAGTGGCTAGGACCCAGGCAGTGTGAGTGCCACTGAAAATCAGCTTGCGTGCCATCTTCGGCACGCGTGCCATAGGTTGCCTACCCCTGAGCTAGACCAATGCATTCATACAGGAAAGTCTTATAACCCAATATACATTAACTTCATCTCACTGACCAGCTCTCACATTTTTCATAAAAGGTATCACCTCTCAGTATTCTTAGATTATTACATGGACATGGAATTACTGTCTCACTTCCAATAACACAAGTGATTTTATTAGAATTATTTTTGCAGTTATTAAACTTTGCAAATTAGGTGTGCATCAGAAGCTACTGCTGCAAAAAGCAATCAACATCTGGATGAAAAATTCCGAAGGTGAACCAAGATACAGCAGTGGAACTCATTTCTACGGCAGAGAGCTGGACCAGGCATAACCGGATCAAATGAAAACCTGGAATTCATGTCTAAATCTCCCCTGCCCTGTACAGAAGGGAAGAGAGCAGTGACTTCTGCAGCCCCCTTTGTGAGTTAGGATATATAGGTGTAGGAGAGGGCAAGCCCTAAAGAACCCATTTTTAAAAGGGTGATGGATGAAGCCTCTGTGAACAGCCACGGACAGGAACTGCCTTAGCAATATAGTTTCAAGAAAGCAGACGGGAACACTGGTTTCCCAAAACAAGTATGGAGGCACTACCCTAGCCTTCTATGAATCCCCTTGACTTATCCCTCAAGGAGCCAAAACTGAAGCCAAGACAGAATGGAAAATTTTGCAAGGGGAATCTTGAAGAATTTTTCTTCCCTAAACTCCCTAGATCTGGCCTAGAGTTTTTCCATTATCTTGTATAGTTAAAAACAAAACAAACTCCCTGATGTTCTTTGATTTGCTTTTTAAATGAGTAGCATGCAGACATGTGGCCATTTATTTTGTGGGGGAAATATCAGAAAATTCATCTGCATAAAATTAAACATTTAAAAATGCTGTTCAGATTAAACATGCAGTGATCTATACTTACTTCGAGATACACAATCGGGGGGGGGGGAAGGGAGGGGAGAAGAGTCAACTTAAAATCTAGCATCACCCAAGGTACACAAAGCCAGTTCTTCCCTGGAGCATAGTTGAGGAGGTCAAACCAGATATATCAGGGTAGAGGTGTAACGCGACCTGATATAACACGAATTCGGATATAACGCGGTAAAGCAGTGCTCCGGGGAGTGGGGGGGGGGGCTGCACACTCCAGCGGATCAAAGCAAGTTTGATATAACGTGGTTTCACCTGTAACGCGGTAAGATTTTTTGGCTCCCAAGGACAGCATTATATCGGGGTAGAGGTGTCTAATGGTCCCCTCTGGCCTTAACAAAAAACAATCTTTATGTAAATATGACCTCTGTGACAGACCCAGACCAGTGGGGTACAGGAGTCTAGTAGAGGGCAAATATACTGATCACTGAATGAGTAGTTTTCTGTTCCCTGAGTGACCAGAGAAGGGGCTGCACTAGAGTAATCAGGAATCTGCTAGAACCAGTTAAGGCAGGCAGGTTAATTAGGACACCTGGAGCCAATTAAGAAGAAGCTGCTAGAATCAATTAAGGCAGGCTAATTAGGGCACCTGGGTTTTAAAAGGAGCTCACTTCAGTTTGTAATGCGAGAGCGTGAGGAGCTGGGAGCAAGAGGTGTGCTGCTGGAAGACTGAGGAGCACAAGCGTTATCAGACACTGTTTGGAGGAGGCCATGGAGAAGTAGCCCAGGGAGTTGTAGCTGTCATGCAGCAGTTACAGGAGGCACTATAGACAGCTGCAGTCCACAGGGCCCTGGGCTGGAACCTGGAGTAGAGGGTGGGCCCGGGTTTCCCCCAAACCTCCCAATTGACCTGGACTGTGGGTTCTTCCAGAGGGGAAGGTCTCTGGGCTGTTCCCCAACCCACATGGTGAACCTCTGAGGCAAGAAAATCTGCCAATAAGCGCAGGACCCACCAAGATAGAGGAGGAACTTTGTCACACCTCTTATCACAGAACCATAGAGACTGCAAGGAAGGGATACTTGAACAAATAACTGCAGCTATCTGTCATTGGTATATTTCTTCTATAGAGCTGGGTATTTGGTTAAAGATATTTGTCGATCACTTTCATTCTTTAAGCTATTTTAAATATTGCGGTGGTTTGTAAAATGTACATATATCTGATAATAAAATTGTTAAAAATTTTGAAAATGACACTAATATGAAAAAAAGTTAGTTTTAACGGTCTTGCCAATTTACTCCTTTTAATGTAATATTTTGTTTGAAAATGTATGTATCTCAAATATTTGGAAAACATCTGCCTTTCAAATAATTTCCTAAACTGCATAATCTTTCTTCCAAGAGCAAACAATTTATATTCAAGGAGCTCTAATTAGGGAATAGATAGAAAGTGTGCCTTACATGGACAAACTCACTGCTATCATAATCTGTATTTAAAAGGAGTCACGTGGGTATTGTATGCAAACTGGTAACATGCTGGTCATTAATATTATTGCATGATGCATGGATGGGTGGTGTATAAAGACTTATAGGTATGTGCTGGAAATATATTCTTAAAATGTGTTTTGCAAGCAGTGCATAAGCCCAGCCTGTTCGAGACAAAGGAATATTGTTTCGCCTGCTGGACTATGATGTGTCTCCAATGTAAATTGAGACAAGCCAGGCCAAAAACAATGGAAAGTACATTTATATATAAGATAAATAAAGCCATCAAAATAGCATGTGAGGGAGAGGACCATTTAACTATCACAACTGGGGATGGAGGCTGTACCTCCAGGCTCTTATAACAGACAAAGGCCTTTGGGAAATATAAGCAGAGACAGAAAGCCGTTTTGGCATCCAACACACAAGAAGCCAGAGCTCTTGAAATCTGAGAAAAGTGGATCCCTTCAGCTAAGGGGGCTGATGTCTCTGGGAACTGGCTATAGGTGGGAAACCTGCTTAGACAAAGACTAACTTTCTGAAGTTATTTTAGTCACTAGAAAGCGTGTTTTGTTTGTAACCTACCTTTCATATCTCTAACTCTTGCTTGAAATCATTCAAACCTATGCTCTTTGTTAATAAACTTATTGTTTTGTTACAAAACTATCTCAGTGCTGTTATACTGAAGTGAAGTGTAAGTCTTCAGCTATTGTAACACTGATGTGTGCTCTGTCTCTTTGAAGGCAACAAACTTAACTTCTGTGAGTGTCCACTGAGAGGGACTGAACACTGCAGAAGGACATCTCCAGAGAACTTGGGTTCACTGATGGTTACCTTCAACGCAAGGTTTGGACTGGCAGAGTCTTGAAGCATTTGTTGGCAAGGCAGGTGTGTCAAGCTTGTCAAGCTGGTGTGTCAGGGAGCTGAAACATAGCTCAGCAGCAGCAACGCTCACTCTTCCTGAGGCAGAGTGGTAACATGGTGGCTCACAATTCTGGTTATCCTGAGTAAGATATCACAATAATTATTGTGACAGGTTTATGGGATGATTTAGTAAAAAAGGTGTAACATTTACCAAAATTACAACCGCAATATTGCAAACACTTATGCACATACTTAACTTTAAGGAGTAGTCTCAGTGACTTTGAGTACACTTCAACATCACTATTTCAATTGAATAGGTTTAATTACATTACAAAATAGATCTACACTACTGAAAAGATTACTTTTAATTCAGTTTATTTAAATAGGATAAAACTACTTAAAAGACCACTCTTTACATACAAAATGTACATTAACATGTGAAACTTTTCTGTACTGAAGTGTAAAACCTGCACACAGGTTTTAGTGTTTAGTAAAAGGAGACGAGCACACAATATTTAAAAAAAAAAAAAACACACATCATTCTTACTATTTTACAGCATTCAGAAGTGCCTTTGATTCCACAATAATGCATGGGAAACTCCTGTCTCAGCCATATCCGACGTAGACTACTGTTCATATTTTCAATACATATACATTTAAAAAAATTCTAAGTAAGCTTTCAGATCGCTGCTGACAGCATTTTCAACTGGCTCAAAGCCAGAAAAAGGATTTCCTTCATGTTTAAATTCAGTGGTGACAGGCTTTCATATGGGAGGAATACAGATTTCATATTAGTTTTTGCATATAGAAGCTTTACTATTTACCATATACACCCAAAGTAGGTGCAGGATCAGGTCCACTTAACCACCAAAATCAATAGTTTTGCCATTGATTTTAATGGACATAGGACCAGATCCAGTGTGTTACACCACACAAGTAATAATCCAAATGAAATCCACTGGGATTCAAAGAAAAACCAACAATCTTATTTTAAAACTGTCACAGGTAGGAAAGAGGCTAGACATTGTTAAGAGTATACTATTCTAACTCAGTGCAGTGATTGTTGCTTCTTTACATGTTGATGAGAGGAGAGTGTTGGCCCACATTCTAGGATTTCCCACTTTATTTTAACAAGCATTATTATAATTGGGATAACAAAAGAAACTTGTTGCACACACGCATACAGATGTGTGTATAAGAACATTGCACTAATCCATTTATTATTTTTCCTCAGATTCATACTGAATATAGATTCTAATAATGTGCTTCCATGTGCATTTTTTTTTATCTCAAATGACTATAGAAGCTTCAATTTGAAGCAAGAATGTTATATAGTTCATGTGTTATTACTAACTTAACCTGTATTTTAAATACAAATACAAGTCTGTAGTTTTGTTCTGTATAACAAAAATATTTTTTTCTCTAGAATAAAATCTATCAATGGGATGATTTTATACTATATTGTTTAACTAGATTCTGAAACCCAAACAGGGTTTGGATGCACAATCTTTCATACCACCTGGAACTTCAAGAATTGTGTTGGGTATTTAGCCAGGACACGACCTACTAAACTGAATTTAGCTGTATAGCATAAAATATGAACATTTTTGAAGCCCACAAAGGTGTTTTGTAGAGACACACAGGAGATGAACTACAGTATACTTGAAAATTCAAAAGCAGGTTTTAGTATCTTGTAAGAACACCACCTTTGGAAGGGTCTCAATGCAAGAAGGTAGACACTTTTAAGGTGATTGGTGAGACTATGATTCCAGCTTTATATTAGGGAACTTTCAAATTTAAGAAAACTCCACAACAATGTGAATCCCTGTATACTTTAAAGAGAAATGTACTTCAACTGTTCTGAACTACAGGAATGATATATTTACATTTCCAGGACCCCCACTAATTCATGGCCATGTTACATGCTGGATTTTCTTCTTTGCTTCTGTAGGTTTTAGGTCATTCTGGAATAGAAGAAAGTATACAACTAATATTAGATGTGCTGCACTAGACAGTATTTAGTAATTATCGTACAATATCCAGAGGGGGTTAGCTGAGCACTTTAACACTATATGCACCATTATAGTAACTTCCTGATGCCATCTTCTGGAGGAAGTTAAAATGTCAGGCTTACCCAGAAAGTAAAAAGGAAGCAGGAGAACTATCAAGGCTGATAAATCTAACCTCTTGCAAACTCATCCATTTTTTGTTGTGGTGAGCAGGTTTACCAAAAGTATCCCTCTCACTAGGAAAATATGAGTAATTTAGAAATACATCCACATAAGAACTTTAGACTAAAGTCTGATCCATGAAGAATGTTTTAAAGCAAATACAGGAATATAATCCACTCTTAAAAATCCAATATAATTAAATCTAATTTTTAAAAATTAAAGAATCTTAAAAATGCTGCTGTTCTAAAAACAATTAAGACTACCTGCATAAATCTGCTGAAAAATTACAACTAGAGAAAAAAAAGTATTTCTTTACACTACCACGTATAAATGAGGAACCCATTGCTTAAGCCTCTGTGTGCACTTGCAAATTTAAAAATAAAAAGTTCATAAGAATTGGTAGCAAGTAGACAACCTCCAAATCAATCTCCAACAGTCATCAAAAATAAGAAGGAACCACGAAACAGTCTCCAGTTGGTTAGACAGGCAAACGCCTGGATAAACAGATGGACTTTGCACCATACCCTGAAGGTCAAACCAGCTCTGGCAGACCAAATAGGGGAGCAGGATCCAGACAAGTACAGTTCAACAGACGCTGACACCAAACTTTGAGAGTGCAAATCTGGGTATTGTGAGCAGCAATTGAGCTAATCACAGCCACTGGGAAGTTGCAAAGAGAGATGGTCTTTAAGGTAATCAGGACACACACTTTACAAATTAACACCAACACCATGAGTGGTTCTTAAAAGCAAGTAGCAGCATGCCTGAAATGGCAAGCGTCAATATGCAAGAAGTCTGCTGAGTTTCGTACTAGTGGAACAATCTGCCACTAAGTCTCAACAAGGACCAATGTTAAAACTGTTTTGCTAGTTTCATGCTGCACAGTAACATTCCCAACAACAGTGTATCTCGTAGGGTAAAGATTCTTTACTACCTTATTATGTACATGGTTTTCTTTAATTATGGAAAAAGTCTGCTCATGACCAACAATCTGTGCACCAAAACAGGAAGTCACTTATTCAAAAGAAAATACACCCCTCTTAAAATTATCAATTAAGATTGATCTTCCATTTATATACCATCCTTCAAATATGCACACAGGAATCACTTCCCGTACAACCAACACTACCAAGGAGTTTAGGACAGGAAGTAAACAACAGTATTACCAAATTAAAATTGCATGAGGAATTTGGGCTGTATTGACAGAACGTGGTCATCCAGGGACCAAGCAACATTAACTCCTATTTTATACTTTTCTTCGAGGAACTCTGAAGCCACTGATTAATTAATAGTAACGTTAATTAAACCATTTGCTCATTCATTACAGCCTGATTCAGCAAGATACTTAAACGTATATCTAACTTTAAGCATGAATACTCACACCGATGTCTCATGTTTAAATTTAAGCGCATGCTTAACTGTATCTTGCTAAACTGGGGCCTAAATTATTTTTGTTAGGCTACAAAATAATCTAAGATGCAGTAAAGATTTTGATTTCAAGAATGTCAACGGTAATCAATTCTGAACATGAACGTATTTAAATTAGGGCTGACAACTGATTTAAAAAAAAATCACAATTAATCGCAGTGTTAAATAATAATAGAATACCATTTATTTAAATATTTTTGGATGTTTTCTACATTTTCAAATATATTGATTTCAATTACAACAGAACAAAGTGTACAATGCTCACTTCATATTTATTTTTGATTACAAATATTTGTGCTATAAAAACAAAAAATATTTTTCAATTCACTCATACAAGTACTGTAATACAATCCCTTTATCATGAAAGTTAAACTTACAAATGTAGAATTATGTACAAAAATAACTGCATTCAAAAATAAAACAATGGAAAACTTTAGAGCCTACAAGTCCACTCCGTCCTACTTGTTCAGTCACTCAGATAAACAAGTTTGTTTACATTTGCAGGAGATAATGCTGCCCGCTTGTTTACAATGTCACCTGAAAGTGAGAACAGGTGTTCACATGGCACTGTTGTAGCCAGCATTGCAAGATATTTACGTGCCAGATGCACTAAAGTTTCATATGCCCTTTCATGCTTCAACCACCATTCTAGAGGACATGCATCCATGCTAACGAGGGGTTCTGCTTAATAACGATTGAAAGCAGAGCAGACCGACACATGCTCACTTTCATCATCTGAGTCAGATGCCTCCAGAAGAAGGTTGATTTTCTTTTTTGGTGGTTCGGGTCCTGTAGTTTCCACATCAGTGTTTTGCTCTTTTAAGACTTCTGAAAGCATGCTCCACACCTCGTCCCTCTCAGATTTTGGAAGGCACTTCAGATTCTTAAACCTTGGTTCGAGTACTGTAGCTATATTTAGAAATCTCATATTGATACCTTCTTTATGTTCCATCAAATCTGCAGTGAAAGCGTTCTTAAAACGAATATGTGTTGGGTCATCATCCTGGACGGCTATAACATGAAATATATGGCAGAATGCAGGTAAATCAGAGCAGGAGACATACTATTCTTCCCCAAGGAGTTCAGTCACAAATTTAATTAACGTTTGTTTTTTTTTTAACAAGTGTCATCAGCATGGAAGCATGTCCTCTGGAATGGTGGCCAAAGCATGAAGAGGCACTCGAATGTTTAGCATATCTGGCACGTAAATACTTTGCAAGGCTGGCTACAAAAGTGCCATGGCGAATGCCTGTTCTCACTTTCAGGTGACATTGTAAATAAGAAGCCGGCAGCATTATCTCCCTTAAATGTAAACAAACTTGTTTGTATTAGTGATTGGCTGAACAAGAAGTAGGACTGAGTGGACTTGTAGGCTCTGAAGTTTTGGTTTTGAGTGCAGTTATGTAACCAAAAAAAATAAAAATAAAAATCTACATTTGTAAGTTGCACTTTCATGATAAAGAGAATGCATTACCGTATTGTATAAGGTGAACTGAAAAATACTATTTTTTGTTTATAATTTTTACAATGCAAATATTTGTAATAAAAATATTATAAAGTGAGCAGTGTACACTTTGTATTCTGCGTTGTAATAGAAATCAATATTTGAAAATGTAGAAAAACATCCGAAAATATTTAATACATTTCAATTGGTATGCTATTGTTTAACAGTGCGATTAAAACGGTGATTAATTTTTTTGAGTTAATCGTGTGAATTCACTGCAATTAATGGACAGCTCTATTAAATATTTAATAGGTGAACAAAACCTGTAGACATACCATACAGCACCTTTGTGCTGTGAACCAAACAAATTCCAAAACCACTTAAGTTTGGGCATGGGCAGTATCTAAAAGATCTCTAAAGAACATTGCAGTAGTTTAGTGATGTTTTCAGTAGGTGGTACTCTTCCTGTTAGGTCAGTATTGATCTAGCGCTTAAGCATGGCTTTGAAGTGTTGCTGGAAGAGCTGCCTTTGAGATTAAAAACATACAAATGAGTACCTGAGCACTCAGAAATTACATGGCATTTTCCACAGAAATCAACTTCCCCATCTGTAAAATGGAGATGCCCTATTCTATTTGGCCTCCCGTGAGAAAGATTTTTTAGATAAGTGGATGAAAATTGCTTTAAGGCTAGGTCTAATCTCTGAGTTGGGAGTGAGATTCTCAGCACAAGGAGAAAGTCACGCTAACTCTGAATGACTTAACACACTAAAAATAGAATGTAGCCACAGCAGCGTCAGAGACCACAGGCACGTACTTGGGGCAACTAGCCCCTCTCACTCAGCTACATTCTGTTTTTAGCGCGCTGGCTCAATCAGAGCGAATGTATGTCTCCTAGAGCTGGGAATCACACACCCAGACCGAAAAGTAAACACGTATCCCTAAGAGATTAGCATTATTTAAGAGTAGAGAAGTGGCTTCCTGAGAACATTTTAATTCAGTAATTACATTCTGCCTACCTAAAATTCCTTCTGCACTTCAAATCTGAGATTATTTTTTTTTTCATTCCTTCCCTGAACTCCCATGAAACATTGCTGTTTCACCCAAATGTAGCCACACTACAGTGGTAAGTAATTCTTTGATGTCAGCCAACATCCCTGTATGTTGGCCCTTATCTCAAAGGATTTAAATTAGGTTCTTTTGGGATAAAAGTTACATAAGCTATACCTACCTCACAGTAGTGCTCTAAAAAATAGATGTAAAGTACTCTTTTCATTCTAGTTTCTGCCCTTTGTGCTCCACTGTACCAGTTCTCAAAGATTCTAATGATCTCTTTTTGGTCAATGCTTAGAACCAGCATTCCATCTGCCTCTACCTGTTGGCTACCTTCAGCACTGTTGCCTATGCTTATCTTCTCAAGATCTTGCCCTCCCTCAGTTCTTGGGACTCAATCCTCTCCTGGTTCTTCTTCTACCTCTCTTCTTCAGTGTGTCATTTGCAGGATCCTCCTTATCCACCCTCAAATTTTCTGTGGGGGTTTCACAGGGTCCCATCCGTGGTCCCTTCCTCTTCTCCTTTTATACCTTGTCCTTGGGTAATCTTATTTGTATACAAATTCAACTAGCATCTATCTCTATGCTTACAACTCTCGAATCTGCCCGCCCCCCCGGTCCAAACTTAAGTTCTTGGTCTTTTCCTTCTCAAACCCTCCTGCCATCCTCCTCCTCAATCACTGTGGACAATACGACCCTCTTCCCCTATCACTCAACCCTTGTAACCTGGGTATTATCTTGAGCATTGCCTTCTCTAGGTCCTCATCTTGCCAATTCTTACTACATAACATCTCTAAAAATATAGCCTCTTCTCCCTCCACACAGCTATAACTCTCATCCAGACCCTCAACAATGTGGGTCTTGATTCCTGCAACATCCTTTTCTTGAGTGGCCTTTTCTCTTGCCCCACTCATAGCCACTCAAAATGCTGCTGCAAAGATCACTTCCTCAGCTTGTCACTTGAAACCTCTCTTTGTATCACTGCACTGGGTCCTACTTCTCCAGTGCATCCAAAGTGAAGACACGTAGTTCAAGGCCCTTCACACCCTGTTCCCCAACCTACCTATCATCTCTCATAAGCTATCGCAACACTAACTCCTGCCTCTGCTCTGCCAATGACACCAGCCTTGACTGCCCACTTGTTAAGTTTTCAAGCATCTTCATGCTTTCTCCCATGCTGCTCCTCATGCATGAGGAGCTCCCCAACAACATCCATAAAACCACCTCATTGTACTCCTTCAAATCCCTTCTTCTTTGCTGTGATGCTGTTACCCTGGAATTGAGGGGTATGTTACACCAGAATTTGATCAAACTAATTGCAGCCATATTGTGTGCATTCAGTCACCATGAATTAATAAAATAGAACACCGCATAGTTAAGGGTTTATTTGGACAAGGAAGGCTTTTGAGAGAAGGTCAAATACTAGCTGCAGGCTTGCAGTTTCTGCTAATCAGAATAGGAGGAGGGGAAAAAAAATTCAACAAATTATAAGTCTGAAAGAAAATAAGTGGATGAAGACTTTGAGCTTGGGTGCCTTCGATATAGAAGTTTATTATGGCTAAGATTGCTAGGAATGTTTTGTTGACGACTAGTTGACTGAAATTAGAGGAAGTAATGACCCACTGGGGGTCGTTATGAGCTATGTGTTCTGTAAAAATTTAGTTATAAAAAGACTAGATAATAAAGCGTACTCTGGAGCAGTTTGCTGAAGCTATCCCGAGAGACTTTTTCCTGACACCATACTCCCCGGCAGGGAAGCAACCAGCCATTGCTGACCTGCTGCTAATTACTCAATACCATCTCAGATTTTAGGTAATTACTTCGGATGTCCTAAACATATTGCTTGTGTGTGTGCACGCTTAAATCTAATAAATAGTAGTTTTAGATAAGAGCACACTTCCTTGTATCAATCTTTCATCGGACGGAAGCATTGTGTTCCCATTGATTTATTCCTGAGACCACCTGGAGTGAAACAGTTAATCCACAGCTTTGGATTCTGAAAACCTTGGGTAACAATGCCTACAAAAGCAACTTGATAACAGTTAGACTGCTGATGTGCTGAGAGAGCTGACTATCATACTGACCAGTATTATCTCATCGTTGCCTTGTGCTCATTCATCTAATCACCTGTGTCTCATGTCTTGTACTTTAGACTGTAAGATCTTTGGGACGAGAATCATCTTTTTGTTTTGTTTGAACGGTACCCAGACAATGGGATCCAGGTCCATGACTGGGACTCTTAGGTGATTCTGCAACACTAGTTATTAACATGAGTGATGAGTGCTAAAGAATTAGTATTTTACTGGGAGGGCAGTCTAACGGATAAGATACAGGACAGGGAATCAAGAGACCAGAGTTCTAATCCCAGCTCTTATGCAATTTTAGGCAAATCACTTCCTCTCTCTGCACCTCTGTTTACCCTCCCACCTTTTGTCTGTTTGGTTTCTTTACACTATAAACTTTTCAGGGGAATCACTGTCTCTTGCTATGTGTTTGCCTACTACCAACCATACTGCACGTACTACAGTAATGCATATACCAAATCATTATATAAAATGACTTTCAAGATAAAACTAAAATATAACAGTTATAATGTTATAAAAGGATTCTCAATATAGGGATCTGAGGACCTACCTGCTCCTTCATAGGCTCAAGGAAAAGATTTGCAAAAAACTATACAGTGGTGTGAACATACATACCGCTGATTCAGATTCTTCTTTTGGAGCTGCTCTCTTTAATTTCACAACAGCAGCTCCTGCTACAGGGGTCAAAGGTGGCACCTTCAGATTAGCCAATACGCTATTAGTCACTGGAACACTGTTCTGTTTAGCCTCATTCTTCCTAGTTTCCAGTTTAGCCTCCTGTGATAAACTGGAGGCTGAAATGTGTGTTGAGGCGTTTGAAGGAACAGATAATCTCCTAAAAGTATCGGCTGTGATTCCAGCTGGAGGAGGTTTTAGGCGATCAGTAGCTCCGTTTTCTGTCTTTTTCACTTTTATACTTGTACTTGTTGAACTGCCATCAAATACAATTAGTGGCCGTTTCCGTAAGCCTTCCACAGTTGTAACACTGAAAATACAAGTTTTAAAGTTCTCAGAAATATAAACTAGATTATCAAGAGTTCTGTTAGTAACTCAAGATATAAGCAATGTAAATAGACAATTAAAAAAATGAATCTAGCCCAACCTGGCAATATTTGTCAATGTAGTTTTCCTTAAACTGTTTTACTCATTCCAATTTAAATTAAAGCAATTGCTTCAAAAATATCAATCTAGCCAATTTAAACTCATTCCAAACAATACAACTGTCAAATTTAGCAGAGCCTTAATATTGTTCTTTACAGTTATTTTAGGATTCGACTGTATCAGAACAGATACAATTTATTCCAGATATAAGGCAAATATTTGAGGAGCTGTGAATTGCCTTCTTCATTTAAGTTAAGATTCACTGGCAATTTGAAATTTTATAAAAATCACTGCTCCTAACATCTGCATTTGTTCATGATTCTTACGGTGAGAAAGCCCAAATGGGGGCTAGACAGACTATTAGTGAAAATATTTCGCAAAAAAATAAAATAAACAAACATAAATAAATAAATCCCTATTTCCGAAATAAGTTGTTTCTGAGCCAAAATAGCGGGTCTAATTTCTTTTTTGTTGGAACTGCTCATGCTTTTCAATCTACATGCAATCAGGTCAGGCTAATTAAATATTTTATTTATAAATAGAGGAACACTGTAAAACTGTGTAGATCCAAAAGATAATTCAAAAGGCAAACAAACAGCCTAAGTGGCAAAAAAGTTTACATATGATTTTAACATAACTATCCTTTTACACATACTGAAGTAAGGACTAAAAGAATTCTAAACCTCAGGGACATGGATAAGACACAATCACCAGGAAACCTGAATATCTGTAAATTAATGAAATTAATTTAGTGTCAACCATTCAGTTTGCTGATTTTTCATTTGTGACAATACCTTATATTTGTGATATACTCCATAGAAGTTGTTCAAATAAAGTGTTACTTTATAACATAAGTACCACTGAGGTGGCTATACATATGAGTGGTTTAGATATACATGGTTATTTAAATGTAAATAATCAATATACTTTACATATTTAATACTATACATGTTTAATAACTAGGTCATGACACCCATATGATTCAATTACAACATCATTAGAACAGCCACTAAACATGGAGTTGCTGGTAGCCTTTAAATGCAAAAATAAAAGTAATTCCAGACATCTGCTGGATGATAGCACTTACCAACGTTTCTTTAAAAATGAAAGGAACAATAGTTGAAGAGCGCACATGCATCCATGCTCACAAGACAACATTAACTGACAGTGCATCAAAGCTGGCCATCAGGTTTGCCTTTTATTATACAGCAATTGTGTTTAATGAATCCATTAATTTAACACTTAAATGAGCAAAATACTTAAAGAGCCTAATAAAAGCAACCTACACACACACACAAATGAAGTGAGTTAATTTCTACCACTCACTTTGGATTCTTCCTTACAACTTTTATTCCTGACAACAGCACCCTAATCTTGAATGCACTCCATAATAGTTATCTTCAATGTCCACCCCCAATATACCACAATATAAAGCTATACTATCTGTTTCAGTCTCCTTCCTTAACATGCCTAAAGATGTAGCAGATATTCCTTAGTTAAGGATTGCTCTTTAAATACTCCATGTTGTGGATACTGACACTCAGGAGCTACATATATGTTTAGGTAGGATATTTGGTATTTATTATTGTGGGGATCACTCATATTGTATTTTTGAGGAGTAACAGCACCTTTGTTATCACAAATGACAGAGTGATATCTTATAAATAACATATTCCTAAGGAAGCCACTAAAGCAGGAAACTTCTCCTGGCAATCAGGGAACTCTGTTTCTGCAGAATTTCAGTTTCCATTCAAAAACAATTCAATTTGTAATCTTTAAAGTTGTGAAGATTACCTGCTGAATGTGAACAAAATGCAAACTGATGTAGTGTTGTCTTCCTGAGCCTGCAGACAGATATCCTGAAACAACAGAGAGGTATAAACTGTCTAAGACCCAACTCCGAGCCCCAGCACACAGTCTAGACAGTTGTGCAGTGCTCTGGGGAGTTCTTCAAGGTCTGGCAGGATGATACAAGAATCCTTCACTCCAAGCTCCACAGCAGGCAAGCTACTCTTTGGCAGCAACACAGCTTTATCACTGAAGCAGCTTCCATACTGTGTTACGGGGTATAGCCGGTAGATTCATCCCCCACACTCACAAAACCCTTCTTCCCAGCAACACTCAGGCAGCCTGGTGGTGTTGAACTCTACAGCACACAGAGGATGGTTATGAAGCTCCCCAAATTCTGCTCATGCAGAGAAGAACCATATTGGTTCTACTAAAAGGTCATCAACAGCCATGGAGGGGACAGTATACACTCCTAAAAGGTGTGCGAACTACTTTGATTCATCTCACTAGGGTGTAACTGAAGTTTCTCTATGTCCGTTTTAGTTTTGCTTACCAAAACTGCTGTAAGTCTAGAACTTTAAAAAGCCTTCAGCAGCCTGTCTCCTACCCTCTCCACACTGTGTGCATCATGAATGCTGGCAGTAAAAAGATAACCCAATAAAATACTAGCCAGACAAAGTTATTTTTTAAGCATTGAATATGAACAGCAGATTAACTACTGAAAAGTCTTGAAGTTGCCTAATAGTGGCTAATCCAGGGGTGGGCAAACTTTTTGGGCCAAGGGCCACATCTGGGTGGGGAAACTGTATGCAGGGCCGGGGCAGGGGGTTGGGATGTGTAAGGCAGTGCAGGGTGTGGGAGGGGGTGCAGTGTGCTGGAAGGGACTCAGGGCAAAGGATTGGGGCAGAGGAGGGGTGCGGAGTGTATGGGGGGCTCAGGGAAGGGGGTTGGGATGCAGGAGGAGGCTCAGGGCAGGGGTACAGGAGGGGTGTGGGGTGGGCAGAGGGCTCTGCGTGCGCTGCCCTTGCTGTGCCTCCAGGTACATCCCCTGAAGCTCCCATTGGCCGTGGTTCCCTGTTCCAGGCCAAATGGGAGCTGCGGGGGGCGATGCCTGGAGGCATAGGCAATGCACGGAGCCCTCTGCCCCCCAACCCAGGGCTGCAGGGAAGTGGTGCCGGCCGCTTCTGCAGAGTGGCGCGTGGCCCGTGGCGCCACGGGGGGCAATCCCGTGGGCCGGATCCAAAGCCCTGAGGGGCTGGATTGGGCCCACGGGCTGTAGTTTGCCCACCCCTGGGCTAATCAGTAGGAAGCACTTAAACTGTAATTGGCACTTTCAACATACAATATATTAAACACCAATACAATAATCTTAATGCAACCCTTACAAAAAACACAAAGTGGCTGTCTAAATGGGCCTATTTCTATTCTTTGGTCTCCATATATTCATTACTTTTTATTATAAAATGTGTTTAATTATAAACAAGTTTTATTTGTACCAGCATAATTATTTCTAATGTGCAAACTCAAACTCTGCTCAAGTATGAGATCTACATGTAGGGTAAAATTGGGTACAGGAATTCTTAAGAAATGTAGATTTCTTGGTGTGCTCATCTGCATGCCTGTACCAAAAACTCAATTCCTGTTCAGCTATTACAAAACGCTGCTGATGTATGAGATCAGTTATTGCAGGCTTATGTCTGCTCACTGGCTGAAGTACTGTGGAGTGCAAAAATACAGACAGACAGCTAGATGTATTCATAAAGAAACTATCTAATACACTCACATAAAGCTGTCGGAAACTGAGGCCCTGAACCTTTAATGTGAAGCAGAGGGAAACCCTTTAAAATCACAGGGATTTGACATGGATATAGAGATCTTTCCATGAACATCGCATTACAGAATTTGGACCATAGTGTGGAACTGAAATATAAATAAAATAAAGTTTTCAGACCACTTTATTTTCTGATCAAAGTTGAGTTTAAGGCCTTATATGAGAGAAGAGCCATTTAACTAAAAAATTGGTATTGAATTACTGGCAGGTACAATAAACACACTTTTGTTGCAGACTGGTGCCCATGCCCCTTACTCAATTCCTAGCACACGAGCAAGCATAAATTACTATGGCCTGGTCTACTGTTTACAAATTTGGTCAACACAGGTACATTAGACAGGGGGTATGAAAAATCCACACCCCTGACTGGTGTAACTATGTTGAACTAACAACCAATGTAGATGAAGCTACATCAGTGAAAGAATGCTTTTGTCAACGTAACTACCATTGCTCAGGGAAGTGGTATTCCTATGTTGATGAAAAAACCCCTTCCATCAATGCTGCACCAACACAACAGTGTTATGCCAGCACAGCTACAGCAACGTACCTACATGAATATAGTCTCTGTAAAGTAGACATACCCTATATCATTCACACTCAGTCGGTTAATTATATTATGCCTTGATATTGATTTTTGAGACATGTTAATAGTAACCAACAACTACAATTAGTAATAGTAATGTTACTATTATTACTTGTCACTAACTGTTACTATTAACAATGACAAGTGCTAAGCTTTTCATCCCTTATCTATCTCCGTCTGTAAAATGAGGAAAATGATGCTTACCTCCTTTGCAAGGTGCTTTGAGAGCTACTGATGAAAAGCACTGTATAAGAACTAGGTATTATTATCATCAGTGTTCTATTGCTACAATTGAACTTCTTCCCCTTCTGGGTCACCATTATGGTAATACATTCTGATATCTCACACAGCATCCCCTGCAAGTACTAGCAACATGTACAAAAACTGTAATTTACACATTTTATAAACTGAGTAGAAAAAGATCAACCTAATTATGTTTTCCAAAATGTGCCAACGGCTATCCAGGAGTTACAAGCACAATTGAATTACCTTTTACTCTCATTTTTTGTTTCATTTAGCTCCCTTTTCTTTTCCATCATTTTCCCCCATCTACTTTTGGGTAAGTCCCGCTGAGGCAATGGTATGGCATGTTGAACATAGAGATTAGTGAGGCCATCTTTGTCGAGCTTTGCATTATTTTCAACCAGTATGTTCTTCTGTGGGAAAAGGAACATAGCCACTATTAACAGGAGAAACTTTCAAACACAAATAACTTTAATGGCACTTCATTTTTTCAACAGTTAATTTAGCATAACTAACATTTTAAACAAGTAATGAAATAGGTGATTTACACAACATTGCAGATCAATACATACATTCGTGAGACTCCACGCAGGTATAAGGATGTACCTGCATGGACCCAACAGCAGGATCACAGCCCTTGTTAGCTCATCTGAAAAAATGGGTTTAAATAATTCTCAGAGCACATTCTAGTTCAATTAAACTCAATGCAAAACATTTTAAATTATGAGGATTTCTCTGAATCACAGAAGGGATCAAACCAACTTTAATGGGTTTGCAACCTTATCTGCAGAGAAGCTACGACCTCTTCATAAAAATCACACACAGGTGGTCTTTCAAGTCCGTAGATCTGGAGTCCTGATTCCCCAGCTCCCAAAACACAAGCTTCTACCATCTGAGCAGAAGGCAGATCTCCATTAGCTATCTATAGTTGAATGCCTATTTTCTAAGATACAACCAACCAAGGGCAGGTCTTCACTGCCCTTGGTTGGAGATAGATATATTGGGGATCGATTTATCGCGTCTCGTCTAGACGCGGATAAATTGATCCCTGAACATGCTCCCCATCGACTTCGGAAGTCCAGCTCGTGAGAGGCGGAAGCGGAATCGATGGGGGAGCGGTAGCGGTCAACTCGCCGTCGTCCTCACGGCCAGGTAAGTCGACCTAAGATATGCCAACTTTCAGCTATGCTATTCGCGTAGCTGAAGTTGTGTATCTTAGGTCGACCCCTCTCTCCCCCAGTGTAGACCAGGGCCAAGAGAAGAAAACATACCCTCCCACACATATGGGCCTTGAACCTGTAAACCTTTATGCCTGTAACTCTATATGTGAGAGCATATTAAAATTCAAGGTAACTACTCACACAGGTAAGATTTAACAAGTTAAGGATAACAGTACTAAATTCTATTTCCAGTTAAACTGATGACAAATAAACCACTATGACATCAACTAGAGTACCTATTGGGTTCCGGGAAGTGGGCGGGCGAAGCCCGCCACTGCTAAAGGATCCTTCCCCCAGCCTAAGGGGGACCCACAGGACCTAAAACCCAAATGATTACGGGGGACAACTAATGTAAAAACAGGGACAGGAGTGCGATTAAAGGGTCAAAAGAAGGGAACCTGATGGGGACACCGAGCAGAGAACCCCGGACAGCGCCCACTGCTCCTCAAAGGTGTCAAGGGAGCCAGTGGACGCCGCCCAGAGGAACTCTGCCCGGATACGTGAACGGACAGAGGATCGGAAACAGGCCCCACAGTCACAGGAACCTCCATCGGCCAACCTCCTCTCCCTGGTTTTATAGATGGCCTGGTTTTTTTTTGGAGGGCAAGTATCAGAGGGGTAGCCGTGTTAGTCTGGATCTGTAAAAGCAGCAAAGAATCCTGTGGACATGCATTCGACGAAGTGGGTATTCACCCACGAAAGCTCATGCTCCAATACGTCTGTTTGTCTATAACAGGGGTCGGCAACGTTCGGCACATGGCTCGCCAGGGTAAGCACCCTGGTGAGCCGGGCCAGTTTTATTTACCTGCTGACGCGGCAGGT